TCACAGTTACAGAATTGGGTCATCATTATGTCATCCTATAAAACGGACTGAGTGGGAAACTAGGAGAAATTGAAGCCAATGAAAAGACCATAGAAAATAAATGTAAAAGTTACTGAAGCTTATCTTCAGTTATCAAGCCCAGGAACTACCTCAACTGAGCATTAAGACATTTACAAGTCTGCAAGAACTGCTGGGAAAATAACCATATTTTAAGAACTTCAATTAAAACAGAGGTGAATAAGTCCAGTAGTTTCTGTAGCCCAGTATCTCCTGTGAATAACAATTTCCCAGCAAGAAGCACCTTCCTTGTCTGTGCTGCCATGATGGACTTCAGAACCATTCCTTCATCTTGGTTTTCCATTCTACCGTCTCACAAATAAAATAACAGGGCGCATTATCAAATAGCAGTGCATGAACCTAAATTCTAGGTCATGTTATGTGTTGTGGCTTTATTCTTCCCTATGATATGTCAAAAAAAAACTCATTTGAGTCTTCATTAAGAAAACAGTCTCTTTAACTTGATATGGTGACTTTTTTTCTGTGGGTTTCAGAATTCTCATCTATATAATGTCAGACTTTGACAATATACTTTCTTAGGTGCCCATAATTTCTAACATTCTGATTTTGCAGTTATAGATTTTTCTATCCTACGTTCATTACTAGTAATGTACTTCTTAGTTAATATTAAATTTGCCCCAAATTTTCTCTGATAATTTTTAAAAAGATATATAAAGTTCTATAAGAGTTTTGTGTTTTCTACATAAAGTACAATTTCTGATTAATTGATCTGTTCCTCCATTGAATTTTCCCCTATATTTTATTTTTAATTGACATTTAATAATTGTTCATCTTTAGTGGTTACACAGTGATGTTTTGATGCATATGAGATATAATGATAAGATAAGGGTAATTAGCATATCCATTATGTCAAATATTTATCTTTTTTTATGATGGAAACATTCACTATCCTTCTTCTAACTAATTGAAACTATAGATTATTAACAGAACATCTCCCTCTTACCTTGCTACAATTTGTATCCTTTAACAAATTTCTGCCTATCTTCCCTTCTCTCCACCCTTCCTACCCTCTAGTATCCTCTTTTCTACTTTTTACTTCTCTGAGATAAACATTTTTTAGTTTCCACATATGAGTGAGAACATCAAGTATTTACTATTCTTTTCCTGGCTTATTTTACTTAATGTCTTCCAGTTCCATCTATGACATAATGAAATAATTTTCAGCCACTAAAAATATAATCTCTTTTGAATTTTTGATAGAGTTTTTTGGGGGGAGGGGTCCTTCAACAGATATTATTTCAGTAAGCACTTGAATTGATTGTCTTCTTAATGTTTACTCCAATGGGTTTTCAAGGTCTGTTCAACATTTGAATTTATCATCGTATTAATGTTTACTCCAGTAGTTATTCAGGTGTGCTCAATATTTGAATAAATGGTGAGAATGCTATTTGTAAAGTTTAACAGTTGTTGTGAATAATAGCAATAAAGTGTAATACTTTCTAGTCATCCATCTACATAAGAAATGCATAGAGACTCCATTTAAAGGCTGAGAATCTAAACTAACATTTAAAGCTACTTTTATTGTCACCTGAATCCTACTGATACAAATCCAAAACTGAAACAAGAAGAGAAAGTACAAGTGCAGAAGTGAGAATTTTTAATCCTACCTGATGCCAAGAAGGATATTCCCACACACACACTAGTGGTCTAAAAGTTGAGTTAGCAAGAGTGATTTACACTCATCTTTTAATTTAGAGCTTTTATCACTAATTTTTCAACACACTCTTGAAGAAACAATTGCAGTGTTACTAAAAAAGACAACTCCAGGGTAAAAGCAGTAATTGGTACAGACTCGTGCTCAATAGAAACTTGGGATTTAAGCAACTTGATTGCAACAATTTGTAATCACTAGGAGATGATTGCTTTGGGGATCAGGAGTTTATTCACACGGGGTTTTTGCATTATGGTTCATTATTTATTTTAATCAGACAAATGGAATGAATAATAAAGGCAAAAAATGACAATTCATGAGCTTTGATTTTTCCGTGATTCTCTTTCAGTCTGAATTGTGTGTTGCACACTACCTTCTGCAAAATGGCTAGAATAAAGAAGTTAAATTGTAAAATCGACTGGGTAAAATAATTTTGACCTCAAAATTGTTGTAGTAGAGTTAGTTCATGGTATTTAATCCAGGTGCTGGGAAGTAATATTTTATGGGAAACCTGGTGAGTGTGTAACTTAGTAGTATGTTATTTCCCAACCTATGAAAACAAACAGAATAAAGATCAAAATGTTTTTGCCTACTTTTCTTCCCTTTTACCAAATATCTGGTTTTCACTTAACTATGAGATACAAATGTACATGTGCTCAAATAATACAAGTATTTGCCCTAATTATGAAGGCAAAAGAGATACATGAGTACTTCATTAGAAGCACATTCTTCCAATGATGTATCAAAATAAAAACTTTTGCTGTAGTCTGCATCTACATCCACATTATCTATCACTCCCTCCCTCCCTCATTCCCTGGTATAGCCATACTGGTCTTGGTCAAACCCTTTCTAAACTCAGAACCTTCACAGAGACTTTTTTCAAACTTATTTTTTTAGGTTCAGGGGTATATGTGAAGGTTTGTGATATAGGTAAACTCATGTCATGGGGGTTTGCTGTACATATTATTTCATCACCCACATACTGAGCCTAGTACCCACAGTTATTTTTTTCTGATCCTTTCCCTGCTCCCATCTTCCATCTTCAAGTAGGGCTGGGTGTCTCTTCTTCACATCTTAGTATCCATGTGATCCATGTGTTATTATTTGATGCCCACTAAGTCTTTTATTTATATATATATATATATAAAGGGGAGTTTGTTAAGTAATATTAACTTATACGATCATCACGAGGTCCTACAATAGGCCATCTGCAAGCTGAGGAGCAAGGAAGCCAGTCTGAGTCCCAAAGTTGAAGAACTTGGAGTCCAGTGTTTGAAGGCAGGAAGCATCTAGCACAGGAGAAAGATGTAGGCTGGGAGGCTAAGACAGTCTAACCTTTTCACGTTTTTCTGCCTGCTTTATATTCTGGCCACACTGGCAGCTGATTAGATTGTGCCCACCCAGATTAAGGGTGGGTCTGCGTTTCCCAGCTGAATCAAATGTTAATCTCCTTTGGCAACACCCTCACAGACACACCAAGGATCAATGCTTTGCATCCTCTAATCCAATCAAGTTTGCACTCAGTATTAACCAGCACAGAATGTTTTCTCATTTGTTTGTGTCATCTCTGATTTCTTTGAACAATATTTTGTAATTCATATTGTAGTGCTCTTTCATCTTTCTGGACAGTTGTATTCCTAGATATTTTATTTTTCTTGTAGCAATTGAGAATTGCATTGCATTACTGATTTGACTCTTTGCTCAGCAGTTATTTTGGTATAGAAAAGCTAGTGATTTTTGTACATTGATTCTGTATCCTGAAGCTGCTAAAGTTGTGTATCAGCTGAAGAAGTTTTTGAGTTTTCTAGATATAAAATTACACTGACTGAAAACAGGCACACTTTGAATTTCTCACTTCCTATTTGGATGTCCTTTACTTTTTTCTCTTGCCTAATTGCTTGGGCCAACACTTCTGATACCCTGTTGAATAGGAGTGGTCAGAGAAGGTATCTTTGCCTTGTGTAGGTTTTTAAGGGGAATGCTTCCAGCTTTTTCCCATTCCATGTGATATTGGCTGTGAATTTGTTATAGATGGCTCTTATTATTTTGGTGAATGTTTCTTCAACACCTAGTTCACTAAGAGTTTTTAACATGAAGAGATGTTTAATTTTATTAGAATTCTTATCCATATCTGTTGAAATAATCATGTAGTTTTTGTCTTTAGTTCTGTTTATGTGATTAATCACATTTAAGTTTTTGTGGGTTGAACCAACCTCACATCCCAGGGATCGAGCCTACTTGATTGTGATGGGTCAACTTTTTGATATGCTCATGAATTAAGTTTGCAAGTATCTTATTGAGGATTTTTGCATTAATAATCACCAAAGATATTGGCCTGAAATTTTCATTTTTGTTGTGTCTTTGCCAGGTTTTGATATCAGAATGATACTGGTCTTACAGAATGACTGGGGAGGAATCCCTTATCCTAAATTTTTTCGAATAGGTTCAGTACAAATGGTACTGTCTCTTTGTACATCTGGTAGAATTTGGTGATGAATCCATCTGGTACTGGGAGTTTTTTGGTTGGTAGGCTGCTTATTACTGATTCAATGTTGGAGTGATTATTGGTCTGTTCAGGAAATCAATTTCTTCCTGGCTCAGTCTTAAGAGGGTGTGTGTCCAGGAATTATCTATCTCTTCTATATTTTGTAGTTTGTGTGCATAGAGGTGCTCATAATAGTCTCTGATGGTTATTTGTATTCCTGGGCGTTCAGTGGTAATGTCTCCTTGGTCATTTCTAAGTTTGTTTTTTGGGGCCTCTCTCTTTTCTTCACATTAGTGTAGCTAGCACTACATGTATCTATATTGTTTAGTTGTGATGTTAGGTTGTTAATTTGAGATCTTTCTATCTTTTTGATGTGGTGTTTAGTTACTGCTTTGAATTCCATTTCTCCCAAACTTCCTCTAGTTATTCCCTAACCATTCTTTAGACGCCAGTTTAAGTATCAATCTTAAGAGAAGACATCTTCTACGTACACTAAAACCTGCTTACCACTATAATTGTTCTCTCTCCTGTTGCCTTATTCTATTTATTTATGTCAGTTGTCACAACCTTAATTTTAAGTGCAGTTTAATTTATTTATTTAAAATATATCTTCCCCTCCAGCCTGTTACCCAAGAGAAGAAGAAACTGTATTTTATATTCACTGTATACACAGCACTCAGTGTATTTTCTGTATACACAGCACTCAGTATATTCAGTGCCTAGAATATGCTAAGTTTAATTCATAAATTTTATTTGAGTGAATGTATTGAAAATAAGAATCTTGATTATATTCACAAGTGTTTTGCTTCACATGATTTTTTTAAATTCATAAACTTTACATTAATTACATTATGAAATTCTTATAAAATCCAAATGATCTGACTATACTTAGTTTGCTTTCTATTATAGCAATAAATGGATGAAGCAGAATAGCTGATTTCTTCATTAAAGAAAAAATACTTCATGATTTATTTTCAATATTCAAAAATATTTCATGGTTAAAATCGCCTAACCGTATCATTACTATCCTTCAGCCACCACCCCATTTCACAATTTCATTTGATTTTTTTGACCACAGAAATGAACATAGTGTGAAATTAACTAAAATTTCTAATTAAAAACTAGATTAAGGACACAATGCAGAAACTGCTTACTTCTACCTACAAAAGTTATCAAGATATCCCATAGATAAGAATGTTGGAGCCACGGTGCCTTGACCAGATGAGAAAAAGAGAACAGAGCATCCTGCACAAGCAAAAGTAGAAATTCATGGTTGTTAACTGTTGTAACTACATCTCTCACAGAACGAGTTTATATTGGATAAGTAGGAAAATCTTCCTTACGTGCCATAAATAACACTATTATTAAGCCTGAAACTTAAGATAATTTGATACTTAATAAAACAATCCAACTTCTAACAACAGACAGATAAATAAATATATCAAATTTTAGAATGGAATCTTACTCAATAATACTACAAAAAGTAATCAAACTAATGATCCATGCAACAACTGAATAATTCTCAGAAAAAAAAAATAAGTCAAAGACTAGAAGGGAAGTTGCTCAAATGGATATAGTACCTCTATGAAAACTCTACAGTGAGTATTATACAACCTGATGATACATTAAATATGTTCCCCCTAAAATGAGGAACAAGGCCAGACATGGTGGCTCACACCTGGAATTCCAGTGCTTTGGGAAGCCGAGGCAGGCAGATCACAAGGTCAGGAGTTTGAGACAAGCCTGGTCAACATGGTGAAGCCCTATCTCTACTAAAAATACAAAAATTAGCCTGGCGTGGTGGCAGGTGCCTGTAATTCCAGCTACTCAGGAAGATGAAGCAGGAGAATTGCTTGAACCCAGAAGGCAGAGGTTGCAGTGAGCTGAGATTGTGCCATTGCAGTCCATGGGCAATAAGAGCAAGACTCTGTCTCAAATAAATAAATACATGAAATGAGGAACAAGGCATTGATATTGGTTTTCATTACCTCTATTTGACATTATAATTTCAGTCTAAGCCAATGCAATGCAATGAAGAAGGAAAAATAAATAAAACTCATAAATGCTGAAAAGGAATAAAATCTCTTAATTTGCATATGAAATGCCATTAATTTTAGAGAATTTATAGAAGAAATAAACAACAATTCTACTATAATTAAAACAAATGAGCAGGGTCACTGGACATGAGGGTCATAATTAAACTCAATTATTATATATCCTAGTAACAAATGGACATAAAATAGACAATGAGACATAAGGTTTCTTGTAGCCTTAGAGTTCAGTGTTTTGGTGAATTACTGAGATCTAGCTGTACTCTTGTCTTACACTTTGTGAAATATAACCATTTATTTGTAATAAATTTCCCTTGTTGACCTAGATAGCTTGGGGCTTTTTTGACTTATAAAACAAATGACAAACTCAAACAACAAGAACAAAATTCAGAAGCCTTATAACTACAGTTATTTAATGTACAACTTAATCTATGCTTATATGGACAAAATATTTTATGCCTTTTATTTTCTAATACTGTAATGGCAGAACTTGTCTTCCAGTAAAGGTATTTAGAAAATATTTAGTATTTTGAAGCAATAAGAAGAAATTTTGGAGAGTAGAAGAATCTGGACCTGGCATATTAATTTATGCTTGTAATCCCAGGACCTGGCATATTAATTTATGCTTGTAATCCCAGCACTTTGGGAGGCTGAGGCAAGAGAATTGCTTGAGTCCAGAAGTTTATGAGCTGCCTGAGACACATGGACATGGACAGATCTCAGATATACAACAAAATTTTAAAAATTAGCCAACCATGGTAGCACACACCTGTGATCCTAGCTACTCAGGAGGCTCAGGTAGGAGGGTCACCTGAGCCCAGGAGTTGGAGGGAGCTATTGATATGATCATACCATTGTATTTCAACCTGGGTGACACAGTGAAAACCTATATTGAAAAAAATAGTATTTTATTTGTTCTTTAATCATTTATTTTAGCGCAATGCCTAAAGAAGAATTCTCTCTGCTTTCTTAGGGTTTTTGAAGATGACAGAGCAATTTTTTCTCTTCTCCTAGAAGAAATCATTACTTTTGTGGCACATATAAACAGGCCAGTGCTCAGGAAAAGAAAAATTAACATTATTTACCTAAACATAATTAGAAATAGAAGGAATATTCAAAGCAAGGGACATACTCTATTGTATGACCTATTGTTTACTTAGTTGTTTTATTTCCCATTTTAATTTTAGTCCTTATTCTCAGATTTCAACCTGCTTAAATTTTTCAAAATCAGGTGAAACAGAAAGTAACATCCCTAGACTGGAGGCTGAGAATGAGGAGGTAGGTTTGTGTAATTCAGAGAGCTAGATCCATAAACTCAAGTTTAAGAGTGTACAATTATTCTGTTCTTCTCTTTTCCCATTGCACTCTTCACTACATAAGCGCATTTATAAAAACTAGAAACCACTACTATGACCCCTAGTTTCTGATCTAACTCAGCAAGTCAGCAGAGGAGTACAAAAGAATAGATTTCTTGGAATACAGATGAATGGGTTTCTAAAGACATCCTGCTGAAACAGCAGGTGGGAATAAGAGAACAAATTCAAGAAATTGAGCTGAGGGCACACTAATTTTCTTTACCATTGTAAACAAAAAGAGCACAGCAGTGTTCCCGGGCATGCCATGTTTCATTCACAGCAGTGCTTCTCAAAATTCAATGTCCTTATAAATCACCTAGGGGGTTGGATAAAACACATATTTAAATACAGTGCACCTCAGATGCAGAATGCTATTCTGTATGTGCAACAACCTCCAAGGTAGAGCTCATGCTGATGATTCATGGAGCATGTTTGGAGGGACAAAGCCTAGAAAAATCTCATTTTTCCCCAGCATGAGCTTTCTAGCTGAGAAACTCCAGATGTACTTGCAGAGAATATTAAAACTCACTATCAGAATGCAGGGACATTTGAGCCAAAGATTTTGTGTTAAGGTCTATTAGGAAACAAAGGCATTGCCATGGTCATGACCATACTTCATCTCAGGACATTCTTCAAGGCCTGCTTCACATCTTTATTCCGCAGACTGTAGATCAATGGATTAAGCACCGGACTGACAAAGGTGTAGAAGACAGCTATTATTTTAGATTCCTCAACAGTCTCATCTGTTGGTGGTCTTACATACATGCAAAACAGAGTCCCATAAAACAGAGTGACAGCCATCATATGGGAACCACAGGTGGAGAATGCCTTGTGCCTTCCCTCTGCTGATTTGATCCGGAGGACGGAGGCAATAATGAAGGTATAGGACATCAGAATGATGGTGAGGGAGCTGGAGAGGTTCAAGCCAGCTGAGATCAGCATCGCGTGCTTTTTGACATAAGTATCAGAGCAAGAAAGCTTAATGAGTGGTGGGTCAGCACAGTAGAAGTGGTTGATGACATTGGAATTACAGAAGCTCAGGCGGAAGGTCAAGATAGCCTGGAACAGTCCATCTGAGAAGCCATAGACATAGGGAAATGTGGCCAAGCAGATGCAGACTCGCCTGGACATTTTCACACTGTAGCGCAGAGGGTCACATATGGCCACGTAGCGGTCATAGGCCATTGCTGCCAGCATGAAAAGCTCAGTGAGGAGAAGGGCAATGAAAATGTAGCACTGTGTAAAGCAGCCAGCAAAGGAAATGGTCTTCTTAAATAAGATATTAGCCAACATCTGCGGGGTTGCATTTGTTGTACAGCACAAATCCACAAAGGCTAAGTTAGTGAGGAAGAAGTACATGGGCGTGTGAAGGCGAGAGTCCAGTCTGATTAACATTATCATGCCCAGGTTGCCTAGGACAGTGATGAGGTAAACAACCAGAAACAACACGAAGAGCAGAGGCTGGAGTTCTGACCGATCTGTGAGTCCAAGTAAAATAAATTCTGTGATTGCACTGCCATTTACGTTGGACATTTCCGGAGACTCTGGGTCTGCTCTCGGAACTATGGAAATGAAGCAAATAAGAAGGTAATCATTGTTAAGGACAATGGAAATTATTTTTCTCTAAAAACTATCATCCAAAATGAATTTTAGCATAATCTTACTTTGTATTTCCACTAAGCCAATATTGATTGCACTTTCCTTTATGTAAGTTACTACCACAGCCAGTGGTGGTGGCTCACGCCTGTAATCCCAGCCCTTTGGGAGGCTGAGGCAGTTGGATTGCTTGCAGTCAGGAATTCAAGACCAGCCTGGCCAACATGTGAAATCCCGTATCTACCAAAATTGCAAAAATTACCTGCATGTGCTGGCAGGCACCTATAATCCCACCTACTCAGAAAGCTGAGGCAGGAGAATTGCTTGAACCTGGTAGGCAGAGGACACTGGGAGGCAGAGATTGCAGTGAGCAGAGATAGTGCCACTGGACTCCAGCTTCAGAGACAAGAGCAAAACTCCATCTCAAAAAAAAAAAGTACTATCACATTACTCCCTCTATACTTTGTCTCATACCTGTAACCCTACCTACACCCAACATCCATTTCTATATGTTCAACTGAGCTACAGATCTTCTATCTCCCCACATTAATTTTTGCTTCTTAATTTCTTCTTAACGTAAAAAGCACAGACTAAAGGCTGCAGTTTTGTGAACCATTTCTCACCGTACTCCTCACTTACCTGAGACTGAATTAATCCCTTTCTGCTCTGTTTCCAGCATGCCCTATAAACTTATGTACTCCTTAGTACATTACATTATCATATTAACACTTCTACTTTTTATATATTACTTCTCCAAAGGGAAGGGGAAAGCCCAGTTTATTATTGTTGTGTGACTACTCATCACAGATGTATACATTGAAGTTTAAAGAAACAAGAAAAGGTAGTATAAGCATGAAAAAATGAATGTGTTTTATTCACTTCTGTATCTTCATATAGCTTTGCATGATGGCATGTACTAAGAATTAAGTGCTTTTTAACATTTTTAAATAGCATTTAAAATTTTGTATTTTAAATGTGATTTCTTGGGAAACTTGTTAATTGAGCAAATTCACAGTTTGTTTCAGAAAGTCTTATGTTGGACACTGAGATTTTCATATGTAACAATAATCCATCGGATTCTAATGCATGTTCCCAGACCACATCTTATAATGGCACAGTCACAATTTCTCAATAAACATATATGATAAATACATAAATAAGAATTTGTAAAACATATGAGTTGTCCTACAGTATTTTGAAGATTATCATAGTAGCCACTTAAAGTCTTTATTTAAAAAAATCCGTTTGGCAGGGTTAGTATTCAAGCTATTAAGCTCTCGTATCAAACATGAGATGTTAGAATTCTCTCTGGCTTGTGTTTCTTTCCACATCACTACTAGTGCTGAATCCCCTCTTCTTTTCTCTCAAAACATTTTTACTTTTTTCCTATCTTTCATACTTAAAATGTTTTTTTTCACAATTTTCTTAATTCTTTTTTCATTTTAAAATGAGACCACACTTACTTCACTATAAGTTTTAGGTTGATAATCAAGGTTTTCTTTGCTGCTGGTTCTCTCTACCCAGAACAGTAAGTATGTAATACATAATTGCCAAATATAATAACCACAGTTACCACTAGCATATTTAGATCTTTTTAGTATTTACTTATTCATTTGTTTGTTTGTTTACCAGAGATACGATCTCCCTCTGTCACCCAGGCTGGAATGCAATAGCACAATCATAGCTCACTGTAACCACTAACTCCTAGGCTCAAGTAATCACCTGTCTCAGCCTCACCAGTAGGTGGGGGTGGAACTACAGGCATGTGCCACCACATCCTGCTAATTTTGGTGGGGAGCAGGGGTTGAGGGTGTATAGAAAGGGGTCTCACTATGTTGCCCAAACTGGTCTCAAACTCCTGGGCTCAAGCAACCTCCCTCCTCAGCTTCTTAAAATGCTGGGATTACAAGGTGTGAGGTACTCACCTGGCTGGAACTTTAATCATATACCGTGTTGTAGTCTTAATCTCTGCATACTTACTAGGTTTAGTGCTCACAAAATCCTATGTGATAGATCCTATCATTCTCCTCATATTACCAGTGAGAGAATGAAGTATGATGGTCAAATAATTGGGCCAAGCTCAACTGCTGGTGGATACAGGGTCTGAGATGAGGACTTACGATTATGACTGGGAAACTCTTTTACTATTGCTTTCTGAAACATCAACTGTGTTATGAAATTCTTCATATGTAGGCCTAGAAGGCCTTAAGATAGATGATGATAGGAACAAGTGGGGACAAAGACAGCCATGCATTCTTACATAGTGCAGCATGAAAAACAAAATTGAGCCACATGCATTCTACCTACAGTTAGGCATGTGCACCGGGTGCATGACTCATACCTCTGGATAACCTGTATCTAATGTAATCTAGGGAAAATCACATGTAAACACGGCAACAAATCTTGATACTAAGAGTAGGTCTAGAGTCCTGTATTACATCAATGCTTCTGCAATCTAAAAGCTTTGCATGTGGAAGAGTCACTTCATTTTTCCATTTGAAAATGGTGACAATAATGTCTTCCCCACCCTCCTTTCAAGTCACTCTGAACATCGACTTAGATATTTATAAAACAAGAGTTATACTCAACATGTTGTGTTATTAGACACTGTAGATACAGAAATGAAGACGTTCTCAGAAATTCCTGCCCTTCTGCATTCTCTCTAGTGAATAGAGACTGATAGAACGGTCAATAAAGGGTGAGCCCGTTAGCAAATAGGAAGATCAAGGAAGACCTCGCTCTAAAGGTGACCCTTTTTAGCAACGAACTTAAGATGGAAGACATCAAGGTATAAGGCTGTTTTAGAAAGGGTGTTCCTGGACACACAAACAGCAGATGCATAAAGAGCCGTGGTCTTGTTTTGGAAGCATTACTGATGTGCCTATGTGTGTGAGTGTGCATAGAGGTCCTGCAGACAAGCACAGAAAATCCAGCAGAGATGCTTTCTAAATCACAAACGTTTACTTCATTGAATATATGTTTCTTTTCTACCTATGACTTTCCCAAGGATACTCAGGGGCTTTCCTGGAGAACAGGGTTTGGTGATAATTTGTAGCTACTCTTCAAGAGGCATCTAGGAGAAAATATTCAGAAAAAAAGAAGTATTTTGTATGGCAGCAGCAAAGTGACACAGGAGATATTCTCATGTTTCTCTACATCCACGAAGCCCCAAAGGGAGGATATATAATGTTTACAGAAATAGACAAAATTGGGTATAAAAAGATCGGGATGTGAAAATTTGAGACTAAAATAAAAAAACACATTAAGAAATTGTCCTTGAGGGTTTAATTTACTGGAGAACATGTTGGTTGCATGTCACTTATGGGATTTTAAACAGTTTTGTCTTCCAGATTCCAAAACTTGTGTTAGATCCAGAAATATCCTACTGAATTAGAGCAGAGGCACTCAAGAGGGGATAGAAGCAAAAATGACAAAGAATACAATGTGTGATACAGGAAAAAAGCCACAGAAGGTATGGCTGCCTGTAAATTGTCAGAGTAAAAGAGGAACACCTTCTAAAAAGGGACCTCTGAATTGAGCAGGTTTCTTCCCACTTAGACTCTACTGATGGAAGAAAAACCAGTGGAGGAGTAGCTATGGGAGATAGTTACAAGCTGTAAAACTTAGAACTGGGATAAGCTACATAATATATTGAGCTCAACTTTAAGTAAAAATATAAAAAATCCTTGTTCAAAAGTTACTAAGAGTAGAGCATGCTTGTTTGTATGTTACATGAATTTCTTGAAAATCCAATGAAACTGTGACTTCTGAGCCAAGATAAATGCACATACTCAAAATCTTACCTCCCAAATATAAGGGGTTCATAGATTTCCTGCACTGAAGTATATGAACTCTTTTATTAGAATAAGCCTCCTCCTGCATCTAAAAATAGCCTTTAAATTTTGTGTAGTAAATGAATTATTTGCCTTTTTCAGTGTTTTGCACCAGTGGTAGTTTTGTAAAATACTGACCAGGAAGATTGAAGAAAATTTCGGTAAGTCTGAAGTCAGAGAAATTAACTGAGTTACAAACTCTACTCCTAGAACCAAAACAAAACCAAAAGACCACATATACGTATTTTTAAGAAACAAAGTGTACCAAAGTTAAATTTGTATTACAGGTATACAAAGGAAAATATAACATTGCCAATTTATGCTCGTAAAGCTAGAGATAAGCAATATGCTTGAGATGAAATTAGAAACATAAGAATTAGTGACTTTTTAACAAGCAACCTTCAAGGTAGCAAAATCTGAATAAAGTAGGAAAGAAATGAATACTTATTATAGCTGACCTTACTCATTACACATAGCCAATGACAGAAGACATATCTTCTCTCAGGGATAAAAATCAAGATTCCTGTTCTTCACTGATTTTCAAAGTCAAAGAGAATGTGATATTTAAGAATGGTACATATACATGATTTATGATACTCTGTTTAAAACTTTAGAATAATTTCCTCTTGACTAAAAATAAAGGAGGTTAAAAACAAGGACTTACTTGTGATTCTGAAATACACTTATGTCTCAGTCTTTGATTTAGGAATGTTCTTGGTACCTTTCTAAGCTGTAAAATGCAGCACTGTTTATATCAGGATGAGAGACTTGGGTCTTTCTCTTAAAGCAAGTCTCAGAGGGACTGAGTAGTAGCAACAGTGAATATTACATCTGGAATCATCCCTCCTGAATTTAATTGGAGCACTTTGATAGCAGCCTTCCTGATCCCAAAGTGTTCCAATTAGATTTGAAATTTATCAGTGTCTGTCCTATGTCCTCTGTAGGGGCCACACGGAACTTTTGTCTTGAATTCCTCTTTTTTTTCTTTTGGTGTGATATAGCATTTCACATGAGGTCTATCCTATAAATAGTTATTATTATTTTAATACTTTTGTCTTTTAGTAAGTATTCTAAAAATTCGAATGATTCATTCACTTTAATTACACATTAGTGTATTTTGAATTTG